CTCCATCTGCAAGCGAAAGCAGTATGTGCAGCAGTGACTGGAGCTCCACTATTGGCTCCGACAATTTATTAAACTAAATTGATTTAACTTTGTGGCTCTGCTGGCAAGATGCTAGTTGCCACGAGGCCAGGTTTCTAACATTATTGGGTGATATTTCTTTCACTCGCTCTCCTTTAAAACAATGACACACGAGGCGACCTGAAATTATAAACGTTTATCCTAAATGTTATTATTTGGGGACATCTATTAATTTCACTTAATCAGATTTCATTGTGCTATTGTGGTAAAGCCACGAGACGGAGACGTCATTTTGAACTCTCGTAGCTCGCATTGCATCTCTCCGTGCTGGAGCACGGCCCGTGGAAGATGACATATCAGAACTACTTCTGAAGTCCCCCGTCAGAGAATTTCTCTCAAGTCCCTTAAACAGGACCTTCTTGATCCACACCAAGAGGCGTGTTTTCTGCATGCCCCACAAGGACAGTTCCATCACGTGACACTTAAACATCGGAACGTTGTGAGCCCAAATCCAGGTCAGGGGTCATCTCATCACAACAACTCGTCCTGAGTAAATAAAAACAAATATCAATTTGTGGGAATTCAATGACACCCATTCACTGAATAGACTGGTCCCTGGCACACAAATATGGAATTATCCACAACTCTCAATGCTCAACTGAGCATGAGTTGACTTCTTGTTAGAGCTGTTATGGGTAATTGTAAAATGTGTGGATTTTATAAATGACTCGTGATGGTACAAGAGGGCCAATTTCTTGCGAATGATGACACAAGATCTTTAAAAAGTCCATTTTGAAGCAAGGTGATACATGGCGACGACCCAGAGACCTTGATAAATTACATGGTGGCCTGCAGAGTATAACCGTCCAGCCCAAACAATCGGGCTATACGGCAACAACCTAAAGCCACCGGGCAGCCCAGCCGCTGAGTTTCACCTTTGTTCTGACATTTGCTAGCTGAATTGCCTCAATCGCAGTTACACATAAAGTGCATCGGGCTTCAAAAGAAAAAGAAAATAACCTCTAAGAACGGCCCCCGTGTCGAACAATGGATGTCGACCCCCGCATGACGTCAGAAGATTAATGCGGGCGCAGCGCGGCGGGTTGGCTGGCAAGGACGTGGGAAGAATGCACGGCTACGCGCAAACTTTTAGGGTGCGAGAAAAAGGCAGGGCCACTCAATTGCAAGGCCGATGAATGCACTCGCAGCTCGGGCACTTACCACGGAGCGGCCAGGACTTTCAGTTAGCCCGGCGTGTTTTCGCGACCTTCCCAACACCACCTCCCGGCTAAGCCATTACGCCGCCGTGTGCCACAGTACGAGTGCTCCACCCCCCCCCCCTCCCGTTAATTCACCGCTGCCCAGTACGGGTAAGGCGCATGCAGCGCTCAGGGCTCTCGGCTCGTTGGGCTGGAAGGTCGCGAGTTTGAACCCTGGTCAGAGATCACTTTCATCCACTCTCTTTGATGATTGCAAAAATGAGGGCCACACTATGGGAAGTCCGCGGTGATCATCCTATAGATTAAATTACCGCCTGCCTCCCATTAGAATATAGAATTTCCATCGCTGGCTCGGGGTAACTATTAAAGATGGGGAAATACTCAAGGATCATTATTAGAGCACAGACACACAACGGCAGTGCAACTACTCGACGTACAGTAAAACCTTGGATTGTGAGCATAATTCGTTCCGGAAACTTGTTTGTAATCCAAAGCACTCGTATATCAAAGCACTCGTATATCAGATGTGATCACGTGACGCTCGGCAGACAAAGCGTATACGTACTACTCGTATTGCAAGACCTCGCTCGTTTATCAAATTAATATTTGTTTTCAAAAATTGCTCGTCTTGCAAAACACTCGCAGACCAAGTTGCTCGCAATCCAAGGTTTTACTGTATATTGTTTTTTTCTAACAGTTTTATTCCGGAGAGCGGTACATACTCAGTGCATCCGTTTAATTTATATCCAGCTACGGACTGCCATCAATCTACAATCATAGGACGCAAGTTGCTTTCAAGGATGATGCTGCCCAAAGAACAAATAGGAAGTGTCTCGTAGTTACATAACCAGCTTCTGTGTCCCACGCTGTGCAAGGCAGCATGAAGTATCATTGAAATTCAAATTTACCAATTCCTTGAGATTTCATCATTGCAGTTTGACTGCCTACTGTGCATAAGACTTGTGCAGGATTGCGTGTATTCAAGGCCCTGTCTAAGGGGACATTATGAATACTCCATAAAACAGGTTTTTTTTCCGGTTAGATCGCGTAAATATATAATTGTGTCGTTAAACCCACCACCACCCGACACAGCCAATAAGTAAGGTTTGTCACGTTAACAGAACGTGCCAATATGTTACTAGTACAGCACACCGGTGTGTTGGAGAGCAAAGCGATCTTACACGATTCTAATCCAAAAAAGCTGTATTATGGATGACATTGGTCGCGAAAGCCTACGTGTTAAACATTACGAATACTACTACACTTGCTCCGCTGAGTACCGATGCAATGACTGCAGCGTACAGCTGTACAGAGCGAGGAGTCCAAGCAGACTCAACACCAACCCACCGGAGTCATTCACAAAGTCACGTGGGACATTGCGAATAGCAGCAAGGTGGCAGCCCCCCGCCCTCCCACTCTCCCTTCCCCCCTCCAATCCACCCCTCCCCCCTTTCCCCTCCCTCCCACCCACCCCTTCTCGCCCCCTTGCCACCCCCCTCCTCTCGCCCCTCCCTCCCACCCTCCTCCCACGCCCCCCTCTCTAACCCCCCTCCTCTCACCCCTCCCACCCCCCTACCCCCCATTGCCCCCCCCCCAACCTCTCGCCCTTTCACTCTTGTGCGTTTTTAAAAAGACATTGCTAGACACGTGATTCCGTGCATGTATCGTTAGTGTAAGAATCAATTTAAATCACAATCTCGATTGTAATATGCACAGCTGTTAGGGTGGGATTTACAAAAAGAAAAATCAATCACCCTATTAACTACATTTGGCTGATCTGATTTGCGCACTTTAAAACTCTGGGCTTACTCGTTTAATCGTGGCAGTTCAGTTTAATCCCTTGCAATTACAAGGTAATTAATTGGAAGCCATAATCCCATAAAATTAGACAGTTACTAATAGAATGTCTGCAAAAGCTTAGCGAGCAATGTTTACAATTGAACCTTGGCATAGCGACCTTGGCGCAGTGTTTGCTGGGCGTGTGCTCACGTTACACGAGGCTAGGTTGGGGAACAAGTATAATAACACGATGTCAATCTTGACTTAAAGCTTTCGTGACTGCAGGAATTTATATTCTTTGGGTCTTTCGGTAAAGTCACGTAGAGAGGTTCAAAGAAAATAACAAAATAACAAAAAAACTACGACGTTTCGATCGCAACACAAGCAACCGACCTGATGACGATTGCTTGTGTTGCAGTCGAAACGTCGTGAGAATTTTTGTTTTTTATTTTTATTATTTTATTATTTCCCTTCTACGTGACTTTACCGAAAGAACCAAGAATATGAATCCCTGCAGTCACAAAAGCTTTAAATCAAAAAACGTTCTGGCCACTTAATAGCCCAAAGCTACAACTGGTATTCCTCGGCATTCATCCATCCATGTGGTAACCAGGCTCAAGCCGGCTTAGCTTCCAAGATCCGCCAAGGTTGTGTGGATTCAAAATGGTTTAGTTCACAAAAGGAGTCACAGGCTTTAAAACTTCAGTGCCGGTAACAAAACTGTCGTATCAGGTGTTTAATTGTACGGTTTACATGTGCAATGGGCCTCGAGGGTGTCACCATGGTGTAGCGACAGTGCCGAGTGAGGAGTGGTACTTTAACGGCGGAGAGGGAGAGGTCGCGCGAGGACGTGACAGCCATGTGAACCCGGGAGGGCACGTGACCGGACGAGAGGGGTAGGGGGAACCCCAGTTTGGGGTGAGAGGATCACGTGACTGGGACCCAGAGTCCCCACGAGGATTCTGGATAGGGGCGTGGCCAAGGACAGAGCCCGGCCACGCCAGAGCAGTTCTAAGCGGGGTTCCGAGAGGGATCTCGGCAGTGATTCAACTTTGGGAATTAATCTTCTTGGTTCTTTCGGTAAAGTCATCACGTAGAAGGGAAGTAATAAAATAATAAAAATAAAACATAATAAAATAATTCTCACGACGTTTCGGCCACAACGCAAGCATCCGTCGTCAGGTGAAGACCAGGTCTGTCGGGGAGACAGCGTCTGAATGAAACACCACCAAGCTTGGAGCGTATATTTAAGCTGGGTTGGAAGGGAGGAAGGGCACCTTGACAAAATAATTTGCATATCAAGAGGAATTTAGCATACTTATGGGAAATGCAGGTATGTGATTAGTACTACTTGTGAAATGCGTAGGAGGTGGGCAGGGGGTTTTCAAAGTCATATTATGCCCGTGCATTATGCAGGATTGCAGCATCAAAGGCAGCGGATAGGGGTAGCATTAATAAAGGGAAGGAATGTTAATAGTATGTAGCTGCAGTAACTAAACAACCACGTCAAAAACTAAAGTATAAACTACATAGTATCATCAGCATACTAAATATACTCTCCAATAAGCTGAGCTACTAACAATAAGTAATACATTCCAATTCCAATTATTTTATTATATTTTATTTTTATTATTTCATTACTTCCCTTCTACGTGACTTTACCGAAAGAACCAAGAAGATGAATCCCTGCAGTCACGAAAGCTTTAAATCGAAATCTGGGAATGAAGTCGCCATGCTTGATCCTCGGTCTCCGGTCTTCACGCGTGGACCAGGCAGCCTGTTAGCTGTCCTGGTCCAACTCTCTAGTTATCCCTCCGAGCGTTAGTTGAGTTAGCCGTGGTGGTCACCACCCTATGTTGTTACCCTGTTAGAGTTACCTGCTGTGTTAAATAAACGTGTTGCCTCAAGTGTGCACCTAAATTCAACACACTACACATGCATACATAAACAACTCTTTAATAAAAATGCATAAAGAGAACTTACTGTAATAGCCGTAAAGGACTGTGTTTTCAATGTGCATCCTTGTAGCATTGTCCGTAGCCCATTCCTGAGAATTAAACATTCACATATATTGCATGTGTTACTTTCTTCCTATTACTGCTCGCAGTAGAGGAGAGTCACATGACTGATAACAGTCCAATGAAGACAAACGAGGCGATAAAGTCCTAACGTTTACATTCAAAGACAATGGACACACATTTAGCCGTAAGAACATTTAGAGCCAACGAGTGAAAATATCTCCCTGCTCAAATAAGCACGGGGCAGCATCCATCGATACCGCTGACCCTGAACCAGAAATGGAGAATTACACATTTATATGCCAAGGTCTTCCCACAGAACAGTTGACACCAACTTAATAATAAGTGGACCTAATTTTTGTAACAACCGGTAAGATGGGCCGAGCCAAAACCCCGTCAGCCCCATATTCACTACAACAACACCCAACCATAAAACAAAACAACACAAGAGCACTGACTCAGCTCATCTTCTATTTGGGGTCAACAACATGAAGTCAAGAGTTCTCATCTGTAACTGGGGAGGAGAGCCGCTTGAGGAGAGAAGCACTTCAAAAGGGATCCTTTCTCATCTCGATATCCTTCCCTTCACGGGTTGCCTCCTCCTGTAATCGAGGTCTTTCCCTCAAAGCCCTCTCAGTACCTCTACTCAATGGGACGTCACTCCTGAGTCAAGGGCTCCCTGCCCCCTGGCCACTGGTGCCCTCTGGCTGGCTGGCCCTGTTCAAGTCCAAGCGCAAGACCGTCTCCTCTTCTCTTCCTTCTGCCCCCGACTGTTTATTATGCAGTGTCTTAAACGAACTTTTCACAGAGGTACGGGCAATGGCACAGAGCCCGCAATTGCTCGCTCACGCCGCTGCTGGTGGAAAAGCCTCCACGACAGTGAGCTTAAGAGAAACCCTGGCCAGACATTTTGGAAGAGGCAGGAGTACTCAACACTTTACCTCGCCACGCGTGACCTTCCCATTGTCTAAACTGTGGTGCATTAATTGTTTTTTTACCCTTCTATCTGGCAACAAAACTGACACCTTTTTTACAAGGAGTCATGTTTGCATAGACCACAATACCTGCAGCCATAATGCAAACAAAAAACATAACTCTGATAATATATGCACTGTCCTTGAAGTTGATTGGTCCACACCAGAGACAGCTTTCCTTAGAGCCTAGTCTCACATGGGTTGGACCAGATGACACCAAAAGGCGCATTAACTTATACTTTTTAATTAAATTATACGATTAGCACGGTTGGCTACATACGGTGCGCAAGAAGTTGACCAAATGAAAGTTCAACACACAAACAGCCGGGTGGACAAAGCATGGAGGATTCAAGAAACTTGCCCATTGTTTTCACCGCCAAGCCAGGAAATCGAACCGGTGACCACTGGACTATAAGTGCCACGTGGCAACCATCACAGCACGGCAGCATCCCTAATGCAACATCTATCCCTGTCGTCGGCGCTTTCCTCACAATGTATGTGGAACTTCTTTCGCATCGTACGTAGCCAACCGTGCTAATCAGAGGTGCGGGGAAGGACAACAAACACAGAACGAGTATTAAAAGTGCAAATCTCCAGTGGCATCCTAATATTGGACGAGCGTTCCAGACGATGCACACTGTTCGACATTTAGTCCAGGGTCTATAACAGAGGTCGGCAACCAAAACAACACCAAGAGCCATTTCGGTAAAAAAGCAATATTTCAAAAGCTGCATTGCAAGTGAATACGAGACGGTGGTGGTCTTTAATTAATGACGTCGCGAAGCGGTCCTCAGAGAGCCGCACGCGGCTCCGGAGCCGCAGGTTGCCGACCCCTGGTAGATAACGGCGCGGCGGGCGGCTAGCCGCGAGCTCTTGGAATCGTGGCACCGGTCGAAGGCCGACCGGCGGTGAGGGCGCTTGCCTTGTAAGTGCCGTTGGGCAGCTTCGCGAAGGAGACGAGGAAGATGTCGACGGGCAGCAGTGCGGCGGCGGAGAGGGCGACGGCGACGGCGAGGATGGCCGTGACTGTGGAGCTCACCTCGCTGTCGTGCCGGCTCTGGTAGTAGCGCACGTAGAACCACGCGAAGGCCACGATCGCCTGCACGCGGTGGCGGCGAGAGGCAGCGAGAGACGTTGAGAGGCGCAATTGAACGGAGCAAAGGTTCATAGACCCAAGTGGCTCAAGAAGCATTGGGATTATTACATGGGTTTTTTTTACAAGGTGCAGAAGACCCAACAAATCTAAATTGCAATTAAAAATGTAAATTGAAAACTCACTTCTTCAGAACTGCTTTGTGTTTAAGTTTGCTGTCCCTTCCCCGTAGCCCCGGTTAGCATGGTGCAAAAGAAGCTCAACATACAGACATACATACATGGGGTTTCAGAGCTATGTAGAGTCTGTGTAAAACAAACCTAAGATATCATAGGAAATAAATAGGTTATTAAGTTTCATGAAATGCATGTATGTATATTGACCTTCTTTCGCACGGTACGTAATGTGGTTACACCAAATATCAGGTCAAATTCAGATTCTCATACAAATAAATTATCATCATTCTAATTATACTGATTCATTATTAGTTTCTTTGTAGTTAGCTGCAGATATAGTCAATTTTTAACTGTAACCTTTCATCACCGAACAAATAAAGTAACCCCACGGAGATATTTGGTAATAGATTTGGTTTGTCAGCAAAATCCAAATGGTGGCAGGGGCCAATCTCTGAAAGGGATGGCCAATGTGGACTTTACACCAAGTGATGGTTAAAATGGTAGGAACCTCCTGGTTACACCAGCCCACAGGGGATTATTGTGTCCGTCCGTCGTGCATCCAAAAATGGGAGGGGTGGGGCTGGGTGGAGAGGGGAGGGTGGGGAGGGGCTGGGTGGGGAGGGGCTGGTCACCCCGTGGTGCCCTTATAAAACTCAACGTTTAACCAACTCACGCCGGCTTGTGCCCGCCCTCACAGTCGGCCATATTTGCGGAATACACCACGCCGTTGTTGACCCTGGCCATTGACCGAGCAACCCAACGTTCCTACCAGCTCCCTCCGCAGGAATGTGTTTTGATCAACCAATCAGGGACAATCGACTTAGCTTACCTCGAGCCAGAATATAAAACTTCTGATTGGGTCTAGCGACTTAAGTGCAGTCAGATACAGCCAGTTTTAAGCATGAACAGTTATTAATGCGTTATATCATATTGTTGTGATTCTTAAATCACGAGGGGTTTGTCTTCATACGCGTGCAACTGAGCATACAGGTTTGTTGGGCATATTCAATTTAACACATAGGCTTTCGTGACCAATATAATTCGTAATAAATGTTATTTGGGTTAGATCTTGTAAATATAAATGTGTTGTTAATATCCAAACGCAAATGCATTCGCGTGCCCCTGATTCGGTGTGTGAGCATGCATTTGGCCAACGCATGACTGTGACATTTTTTATCCAATTAACAACACATTTGGGACAAATCAAGTTGAGACAATAACAGGAACTTAGAACTATTAAAACCTATTTCTCGTAACTCTGTAATGTTTTCAGGGTTATTGTAAAATAAAAATAAAAGGAAAATTAATTATATTCGAGCACAAACTTTTTATTTTAGAATTAACATCAAGGCTGATTCCTTACAGTAAAACTTGACAGGCTAACATTTCAGATTATTTATACTGGATATTTGCTTAACAGTAAATAAAATGTTCTTTCGGTAAAGTCACGTAAAATAATATTTTATTAGTAGTAGGTTTTTACCCTTTTAAACTGGTACCAGTTTAAAAGGGTAAAAACCTACTACTATATTTTGCCACTGGTAAAAGAGATCTCATAATATTTTTTTATTGTTTTATATTTTTATTATTTTATTATTTCCCTTCTACGTGACTTTACCGAAAAAACCAAGAATATGAATCCCTGCAGTCACGAAAGGTTTAAATCAAAAGTTAATAAAATGTTGAACATTCTTACTCTAGTGCCAGCACCGCCAGACTCAATGAAACATCCATCAAAGGCCGTAAGGATTTTCGCAACGCAGTCACCTTTTCTATTGAGATAATTGAGATAATTTTGCTGCTTTAAGTTTCCATATGATAAACAACTTTGTTGAGCTATCATTTGTGTCCGGGTCGCTTCTGAAAAATAAATTCATACCTCAGTGGGCTTTACCTGGTAAGATAAAAAATAATCTAGTTGTATTTGTATATTTTAAGTGATATGTTTACCTTTCCTATACTTTGCACTCCCATCGTGTTTTTGCATTGTTTGTTGTTGTAACGTTCTTACCCCGTGACCCTACTAACATCTGTGAAACAAAGCTTCATAGCTCCTCAGATTCCTCCAGGATAAATATTCTGATTCTGTGTGGTTTCTCAATTCAGCCCATCATCACTCCAGTGTCAATAACATGAGTGACACTTTTGTAGCAAGCAATGAGTGATTCATCTCGTGGATAAACATGCCTCCGTCACGGGAACGTGGAATTCCCACCACCAAGGGAGAGAGAGTTCTCAATCGAGATGAGCGGTACACATCGCTTGCGTTGCACCCAGAGTCAATTGTCTATGGCCGAGGCAATGGACTCAAGGAGCGGGTGGGTAATCAATATGCCTCAATGGTTGTGTCAGAGCAATGAGCCATGTCTGGGTTCAGATGTATAGTTGTTTTGGGTAAGTGATATACAGAAACAATGCACTCTTGAGAGTTTGAAAGGGTATCTTTCTAGAGTCGGAGTTACAGGCGCCCACTCAAGCGACTCAAGAAGTGGTTTCTGTGGCATCATCTTCTTCCACAGCATGCTCTGCTGACTACGATAATTCTTTAAGAAAATTTCGAACACAGCCCACACTATTTCAAGAGATTTTACAGCCATTTGTCAGTCCACTGCTGGATGAGAGCATCCCCGCGCTGTGTCAATCATGATTGTGTGACTGACTTCGCCAAGCTAGTGACTGCGGGGTGGGTGAATCAAGGAGTCTCGTTTCCGATATCACTTGCCACTGATATTATCCGTGGTTGGGAATTGAACTCGGCTCTCTTGAGTTCAGAGTGCAGTGTGCTAACCAATGTGCAACTGCTGGAGTACAATGGTGCGGACAGAGGAGACGTAGTTGCAGGAATAACACAAAGAACAAAATTGCACTTAGATTTCAGCAACGTACTCGCTGTACCACCTTAAACAAGTTGAGTTGCAGCGCCCAGGATGAGTGTCTGATTCCTGCATAATCCATCAACTCGGCCTCCAAAGCACCACATTTACAAGCATGCCACAACGCTTCATTGATTCTTCAAATCCAGTATGGTTTTTTTTTTTGTAGCCATATAAAAGCCAATTTACATGACTTAACATGCAAAGCACAGTCATTGCTTTTTTTGTTCTCAATCTCAGCTCTCTCTGAGGCAAACATTGGCAATATCGGGCTGGCTTTCTCTGCCTGTTTATCTCGGAGAGTAAATCAATTCTAATTAAAATGAGCGCATTGCTGTGCCTTGTGTGTAGATAATGTTAGGCACAGGGGGTGCAACCACTCGTGAATTGCCTTGAAATAATCCAAGGTCACCTTATTATTAAGACATTAGGAGTAATAAACTGGGAAGTGAACCTGCACAGCCTTGCAACACTATACTGTACCTGTGCTGCCTCTCACTCACCCACAGGGATGTTCATACCGGTACCGTTCCTTGCGACAAATGAGGCCAAGCAAATGGAAATCTCATTCATTTTCTGTTTCCAAATTTCAAACACTGGCCATTCATAATCATTTACTTAACCATGGAAGAAAAGGCCAAAGCTCCATGCGGAAGGACTGTCTATAGAGCAGGGGGTCAGCAAACAAAATAACAAGAGACATTGTCTTCGAATTTGGTAAAAATATCTATTTCAATAGCCGCAATGCATGTGAATACGAAACGGTGGTCCTTAAAAACATTCCTGCGGAGGGAGCTGGTAGGAACGTTGGGTTGCTCGGTCAATGGGCAGGGTCAACGGCGGCGTGGTGTATTCCGCAAACATGTCCGACTGTGAGGGCGGGTACAAGCCGGCGTGAGTAGGTTACACGTTGAGTTTTATAAGGGCACCACGGGGTGACCAGCCCCTCCCCACCCAGCCCCTCCCCTCTCCACCCAGCCCCACCCCTCGCATTTTTGGATGCACGACGGACGGACACATTAATCCCCTGTGGGCTGGTGTAACCAGGAGGTTCCTACCAGTATAAATTACGTCACAAAGCAGTCCTTAAAGAAACGCATGCAGCTCCAGAAGCCGCAGTTTGCCGACCCCTGATCTAGAGCAACCAGTGGCAGTGGTGTGATCAAGAATCTGCCAGGCTGCAACTTTACCTGATTCAGGAAAACCTCACTGACTTCCGTACTTCTTAACCTGAGTGGGGGGGGGGGGGGCTTTCTTTATTATTTTTGGCCAATTAACTTTCGAGGTATATTTTAATGGGGGGGGGACACCGAAGTACTCCACCTGCAAAAAGGCCACAAATGCAAAGGCGCAAAAAACTAACAATCTCCTAAGTTGGGTCAATAAGCCACTTCTGAATGCAAGGGGAAATGGAACTAAGCCAACAACAATCATTGCAGCAAACAGGGTGGCTGGAAAAACCCATGGCAATAAGTTTGGCACAGGGGCCTTTTATTGAACAAGTGAGATGTTTCAACAGTGAGGAAGTAGTAATCGCCAGTAATAATCATCAAGATGATTTATGGATCTCTCTGTGAACCCACCGAGATGGTGGGGAAATTTTAGGTGGACGATGACTTTGATCATATTGACAATGGCAGCAGGGTGGGTGTAGTGGTGGCATTTGTGCATCACAGGCAGAAGATCCCGGGTCTGATTGCCGACTCAGGCACCTTTATGTTATATTCTTCCCCTGTTTTGCATGGGTTTCCTCTGGGTTCTCTGGTTTCCTTCCAAGGCACAAAAAACCGATACATTCTAACTGGCATTGGCCAAACATCCTAGTGTTGAAAATGTATCTGCAAATGACCAAAATGGGATTACACACAGTGGCAACATCGCCCGCTACTAGCGAAATCATGACAGGACCCTCGTGAAAACGAGTCTTGAGACTCGGTGAGGCTTTCCTGGGTAAACAAGCATAATAATAATAAAAAACCTGACAATCTCATCAAATATAGATGTGAAAATTTTATTAAAGAAAAAAAAACTATATCATACTGCATATTCAAAAGATTAAAAAAAATTGGTTTAATTTCAATATTAAATGTTCTGCCGGTAAAGAATGCGGTATGTGGCACGTTTTATATCTGTGCAAACTACATGACATTTCTGAAGAGTAATCAAATACTCGAATAATTATCCAACGCACGTGTCATTTATTAAAATATTTAAATATGTTTTCATCTTAAATTGTACAAAATTGTCTTTCAAAAAAATATGAGTACAACTACACCATAAACCTAACTGCACACTCGACTATGAAGTTATAATTAGACCTCATTTTTGCAAAATTTGTTTTCCTCTTGCTTGGTATCACTAGTTGACTATGTGTAACAAGAATACTGTATAGCCATTTCCCTGTATCAGTGTCATCTAAGTACTATCCTCAATCTAAAGATGTCAGCTGACTGACGTTACAGGAAAGGTACTTGAAACAAGGAACACGCCTTTTTAGCAGCAAATGGAATCACACTCGTGAACCTGTTGACATGCCAGTTTGCATGCGACTCTGCAAAGAAACAGGTAAGAAAATAGTTACGTCACCTAAAAGATTTCGCAAAGACTTGCTTTGGCAGGCATATTGACCCAACGATCTGTAAACTACTTGTAAAGATCCCAATCTCTGAGCGCTGTGAAGCAAACAATGGAACAAAAAAATCCGACCTTCAAATTCACAACTACATTTGGAAGCATCATTCAATCTTATCATGCAGCTTGGGATCACACTCTTTCTGCTCTGTCTGCAAATGTTTGTTTTGTAAATCCTAAATCCGCCTTCAGTCCTATGAATTTCCTTCTGCATCCTCAGAATCAGGCTTCCTCCACTACTCGCGTCAGCTGCCAAGTGTGAACAACTTTTCCCCTATTTGTCAGAAAAGGTCTACAATGTTGGAAATGTAATTCTGTTGTCTAACTGCTCAACCTCGTGCATGACTTTCAACTTCACCACCCCCTTAATCCTGACTGCCCCTCCCCACCACTCACCCCCACACGACTCCACAACTGTCCATAAGAGGTTTTTTTGGGTTAGATCTGGTAAATATAAATGTGTCGTTAAACCCACCACCACCCGACACGGCCAATTAGTAAGGTTTATCACGTAAACAAAACATGCCAATTCGTTACTAAAACAGCACACCCGTATATTGGAGAGTAAACCCACAACATTTACAATCAGAGTCTGACGTTTCGCCAGTAATTACAAATAGCATAATCAGGCGACAGCCAGATTTGTGGAGAAATCCTCCTGTTTTGTTCTTAAATAGGAGGATATCTCTCTAGCACACCGGTGTGCTGTACTACTTGCCACAATTCTCCTTCATCCCGTGATCCCAGAAGCAAGATGAGCTCATCATACTGTTCTGCAACGTAACGTCAGAATCTGTATTTAGTTTTACTCAAATCTGGCCGTCCGCCTGATGATGCTGGTTGTAATTAATGGCGAAACGTCGTACTCAGATTGTAAATCCTATGGATTTACTCTCCAACACACCGATTAGTTAGCTCGTGTGCTGTTTCATTCAGACGCTGTCTCCCCGACAGACCTGGTCTTCACCTGAGGACGGCTGCTTGCGTTGTGGCCGAAACGTCGTGAGAATTATTTTATTATGTTTTGTTTTTATTATTTTATTACTTCCCTTCTACGTGACTTTACCGAAAGAACCAAGATGACACCGGTTAGTGCTGTACTAGTATACCACACTACACTATACACTACTATGCACTACACTATACACTAGTGCTGTACTAGTATACTACACTATACACTACACTATACACTACTATGCACTACACTATACACTAGTGCTGTACTAGTATACTACACTATACACTACACTATACACTACTATGCACTACACTATACACTAGTGCTGTACTAGTATACTACACTATACACTACACTATACACTACACTATACACTACATTATACACTACACTATACACTAGTGCTGTACTAGTAACGAATTGGCATGTTCCGTATACGTGACAAACCTTACTAGTTGGCTGTGTCGGGTGGTGGCGGGTTTAACGACACATTTATATATTTACGCGATCTAACCCCCTAAAAAATGATGTATGGCTGTATTTACACCGGCGGATATACACACACACATGACAAACAAGCCGTGCCTTGTCATTTAATACCACACGCAATGTGCCTCGCCAGCTTAGTTTCAAAATTAACCTCACATCGTGACCGTACGAATGAGAAACGGGAACCAGACAGCTGTCCCCCGTGAGAGAGAGAGAGAGGTAGGGAGGTGGGCTACCTCCATCCCCCCTCCCCACCTCCGCCTCCCGCCGGAGACGACCCCCATAGCCCCGCGGAGAATCAGGCAAAGACCGTGGTCTGAACTGCGGCCTACCACCCGAACCGCGCGCGGGTGACGAACAACCGAGAGCGGACGGCAGCAAAGGCGGCACGTCGTGGGGTAATGTCCCTTGTTAATCTCTCGTGTCGCGGAGGCGTACCAGCAGAACGATGGCGAATATGAGCCATCCCAGCAAAGTCTCGCTCAGAGCGCCAGCCATCGTAGCCATGAGGTGGTGGTGGTGCGAGGAGAATAACAGCGGCCGCTGTGTTTGTGTCACGTGACGGGCGAGCTCGGATCACGTGGGGGTGGGGGGTGCCGAGAGCACGTGGTCGTGTCGTCGAAGGTTGAGTGTCAAGTTGATAAAGTTTCATACTCTCGATTCTTTCGGTAAAGTCACGTGGAAGGGAAACAAAAAAATAATAAAAACATTAATAATAAAAAAATATTATTTTATTGTTTCCCTTCTACGTGACTTTACCGAAAGAACCAAGAATATGAATCCTTGCAGTCACGAAAGCTTTAAATCTAAATTATCAAGTGTATTAGAAACGTATGAATATTTGTTTATAGTGGAGAAATTCGATGAGCTATGAACTCTCTTGTTTTTTTGTTGTTACAGATGTTGAGTAGTTTCAACTGAGGTGCAGTTTAGTCCAGAGTGACCTTTGTCACTCACATTGACAAAATAAAAAACACATTACATAAAGTTAGGAAGCATGTTTTATTTTTTTTTGGGGGGGGGGGGGCAGAGCTTTGTGACGTTATATTTGAAGGTGGGTCTGACTTTTTATAACACCGTGTGACGAAGAGGGGGGTCAAAAATCGTCCAAAATTGCGTAACGTCATTTATGGACGGCCCCTTACCTGAAAAGGTACATTTAGTTTTACTTTTTCATTCATTTCGATTCGATCGTTTTAATATTTGTTGTTCATTTGTATCTTGGTATTGTGAAAATTTCATAAAACGAGCGATACCTGTACAATTGGTCAAGACTCAACCAACGGCAAACTTTATAATTACATCTAAGCGTGACAAATTCACCAAATGTTTAGGTTTTTTTTACCTGAATAATTTACCTTTTATTTTAATATAAATTAACTAAACAAAGCTGTCATCCAATCAAATGCTTAAGGGGCCGTCCATAAACGACGTCACGCGATTTTGGCCGATTTTTGACCCCCCTTTTCGTCACACGGTGTCATAAAAAGTCAGACCCCCCTTCAAATATAACCTCACAAAGCTCTGCCCCCCCAAACCATATTTCCATTTTAAAATAAAACATGCATCAAATCACTTTAAACTATTGTCATTGTAGTGCGTATTTAATGTGACGTTGCACTATAATGTTGCAAGAGAAAACATTTATTAAAAAGTCTATTTAATTAAGTAGAACGTGTTGTCTATATTTATTTAAAGTTGCGCATTTTGATGTGACGTCACATTTCTCACCCCCCCCCCCTCGTCACAGATCGTCACAAATGTCTGACCCCCTTCCCCCCCCCCCGAGGTGCGTGACGTCATTTATGGACGGCCCCTAGGTGAAGCACCACTCACTCCATTTACCAAAAGAGGAGCATCTGACCAGGGGCGGTTTCATCATTAGGGCGATTGGGCGACGCACCACCAATCTCAGCCGTTACTGTGCCTCTGGATATAGTCCAATCAGCGTCATGTCACGTTCTGTGGAGTACCGCCTCTTTTTGGGCGATTTCACTCTGGCTGAGAATCGCCCAGAGTGTTCCCATAGACTTACATTCAAAGATGTTTTTTTTTCGAACAGCGGGCGCTGCAATGCATTCTCTATGGCTTCCGGGAGGGCTCGCACTAACGTGCTTACGTCATCATACGTAAGCACGTTTCAGTCAACAATATTATTTGTCGCTACCTAGTGGAATCTTTAATATAAAGAAACTGAGTGGATTGTAATAATAGTGAGTATAGAAACAAACAAGATGTATTGTAAGAGTCACTTTAATTTTCATTAATATTAAAGAAGTGAAGTTGCCTTTACATGCTTAAGCTTCTTGGTTGGGGCTTAAGCTGTTAATTTATCCATTGCATGGGTGGAGCTTATCCTTATCAATCATCCAGACATTTGCCCCCCCTGAGAGATTTTACAGGAGCCGCCACTACATTTGACACTGCTCAAGAGTTACGGCACACCAAATCCATCCCAAAAACCCTCACACACACACACGGACGGGATAACCGAGACTCAACCAACCCCGTACCCACACGAGATATTTCCCTGCGGAGTGTGTTTCAAGAAATTGAGACAAATCAATTTGTGTGATTATTATAAAACATTTGGCCATCTGTCATACAGACAAACTACCAGGGGGGTGGGAATTTAATTGAAATTATCTATTAAAGCCTCATTATCTGCAAATACATGAGTCCTAGATCAGCCAGTGTGACAACGGGACACCCTGCCCTTTCTGGCAAACTGACCTTTCCAAGTTTCAAATCATGAGAGTAAAACCAACTTTAGCCTTTAACACATGGCGAATTAATACAGTAACAATGCATAGTACACGCATTTTTTTTTAAACAAAGGCATGACCATTATGTTGTTTTGATAACGATCACATTCGAGTACGCATTTTCAATAAAAGAAAGATGGGTAGGCTCGGTATACACTTCACGCATATCCCATCGTGAATTAACATTTCATGAACAATTGACTCATGCTAAATTATCAGTGGGCCATTGGTTAACACTGATTTATGGTGGACAGCGTATTGATCAACAGTGATTAAATAGTCTGGGCAACTCAATTTAAAGTCCCCTAGAAGTACAGTTTAGTACTGGTAGGAACCTCCTGGTTACACCAGCCCACAGGGGATTATTGTGTCCGTCCGTCCGTCGTGCAGGGAGGGGCTGGGTGGGGGTGGGATGGGTGAGGCTGGGTGGGGAGGGGCTGGTCACCCCCTGGTGCCCTTATAAAACTCAATGTTTAACCTACTCACGCCAGCTTGTGCCCGCCCTCACAGTCGGGCATATTTGCGGAATACACCACGCCGCCGTTGACCCTGGCCATTGACCTAGCAACCCAACGTTCCTACCAGCTCTCTCCGCAGGAATGTGTTTAACCTCAGCTGATTGAACGAGTGGCAAAGCTACTCGAGATGAAGTTACAGAGTACAAACGCGTGTACGGGCTGGTCCAGATGTCTTGTGGCCCCCATTTAATTCCCTAAAACGTAATACTGTATAAAAAGAATTAAGTCAGGGTTATTTAATAAATAAGCGAATAAGCAAATGTATAAAAAAACACATGGTCGGGGTGAATTAATTGGGAGTCACAAGGCATCTGGACCACCCTGTACAATAACTGCAATCGTAAGTACGACTCACATTGCGGGGAGTGCGACCAGAATTAGCATGCGCAAGTCATCACGAGCCCAGCCAGCACTGTGGTATAGCCAAGTGCGCAGTAATTGAGCAGTAATTGATGAAGTTTTGTTGGGAATGATTGAGCGTTTTGTGGTAGCCTGAGGTGGTAAGTACTGAGGGACTAATTACCCTTGGAAGTGGGAACTGCACTCTTATAAAAGCTAATCAAATTTTCGCTTTGTGTGTTTTTGATGGATCACATTCTATTATAAATGTATAACTAACAGTTAAGCATGAGAAGAAATGCATTGGTAATGAGCGGGTAATTAAAATGTAGAGTACTGTTACGTACGTTTAATGTATTTGTAGACTACACTGGTGACTAGTAACGGGCTTGAACAGTTTTCTGATGGATTTAGCATCACACTTACACAAAGTATTAGACAATTATCAAAATTCTAATTTGGATTCAACACTTCATAACTCCCAGAAGAAATATTTCATAGGCCAGGGTAAAAAAAATAATAAAACTACATATTTTCATTTAAGGGTCCTAAAATCATAAATGTATGTTTTTGTATTTAAACCCGCACATGAACCATGAGGCCAATATCTTAAATATCCCAACGTAAATTTTGCTAGTGGCTTCATGTCAGGAAACAGACGTGCATATTCAGAATTGTGCCACTATTAGCACGCTACTTTGTCAGAGAAGAGCCGAATGAGATTATGAAATGACGGAACTTCTGAAGTCACGGGGTCCTTTTTATCCACACAAGAAAAATGTTTGATGTCCTGCAAAACAAGTGTGTCACATTCCAACCAATACATCATGTTGTGAGCAGAATGAGAATGTCACTAGATTTGAGGACGTGGTCGAACCAGAGGTGGCTGCCCAGATTCAAGCCCTCCACCTGAGTAGTGCTGGCTCGATGCTGTCACCCCAGAGCCACGTGGCCACGTTAACATATTAACAGTCCACAGGCGAGCCATCAGGATAGTCAGTGCTACTGTGGTCATACAACCAAAATTATGGACCATGTAGTAAACCACTGTCGTCTTATACAAAATCTTTCACAACCATTATAATGCATTGATTTATTTTGGGTTAGGTCAAGATGTTAACTACCTCGCCTGGTATACAGGTCATGGGTTCGACCCCGACGCCTGTATATTTGGAGTTTGCATGTCTCTCTTCCTGTGGTCGCGTGGACTTTTCTCTCCACATTTAGAAACGTGTTTAGATTATATGGCTATACATTTCCACGTGATACTCCACTTCGTTGCGCTATCATTTGTGGCCAGGTTGCTTCTGAAAAAGAGCTGTGTAGCTGTGCGGCTTACCTGGTAAAATAAAAAAGGTTTAGTTTAGTAATTTAGTGTAAAAATGTGTCATAAACCCTCCTCCACCCAACAGCCAAGGTTTCACCTGAATAAAACGTGCCTATTTGATAACACTGGGTCAACAAAAAAAGTCATTTTTTTCCAGCCTGGACCTTTGCAGCTGTTTTAGACTAATTTCAGGGTGCTGATTCCAAATCTGATCTCAGATTTGCTCTGTCACATCTCATTTTTATGCTATCGGCATACCCCATTTTCATTGAATTTACCCGAAATTAACTCGGTCACTTATGATTGCAAGTTGTTGCGAGTCAGTGACTGCTTTAGTGTTAAAATATGGTGCTGTATTTTTAGGATAGTGTTTATAATATAATTTTATGTAGATAACGACATTTAATTAATATTTTTCTTCTGCAGTTTTTATTGAAAATGCAATATTTGATATCTCAAAAACCTGATGTGATAGACAAAAACTAATGCCAGATTTGGAATCAGCGCCCCAAAATTACCTTAAACCCGTTGGAATACCTTATGCCAGAAAAAGTGTGTTGACCAGTGTTATTTATTCAGCAGTAATACATTTGGCACATTTGTTG